AAACAAATTTTGCTACATACCCCATCGTTGCATATTGGTTCATACGGCCACGCAATGTAGTTGTCCGTGCTGGCTTGAATCGATGGAGCGTGATGCCCTCATCTCCCTACACTAAACCGCACTCTCTAACACAACACGCGCCCCCCCCCCCCCCGAACCCTTCATTTAAACTAACACTAAGGTTGCTTTAGAATTCTACAAGTAGATACTTCAACCACTGCAACCAACGCATTAACCTCGCCTATACTATCCTAACACACGCACTAGATCATACAGTATAATGATATACATACATATTATACAAAGCATTATGAAGCCAAACTGAAGTCAACGTGAAGCCAACGAGAAGCCAGGCTGAAGCCAAATCGAAGCCAGTGTGAAGCCAACTGGAAGCCAACTGGAAGCCAATAAATTTTATTTTTTTAAATAATTTCAATAATTTCAACTTGAAGCTAATATGAAGCCAATAGGAAGCCATTAAGAATCCAATATTTTTATTTACTCCAGAATTGTCCACGGTGAAGCCGCATTGAATACAACGGTTGCAATTGCTAATAGCTCCCCACATAGACATCGGACTACCTACTTAAAGGTACCGACGTGCTCGTATTGTCACACGCTTTCGATTGGTACTACATATGCTGTGTTCAATCAAATGCTGGATTAAGTCACTATATCTGTCCCGTGCGATTGGTAACAGGATTATCACAAAAGTGGCTCTTAAATACCACTGGGATACAATTTTTTGCTTATGATCAATGGTCACAAGAAGACTTTCCGAATCTAGTTCCCTTCTAATCTTTTCGATGTGTGCATCTTGCCAACCACCGCGGGCAATATGGTTTTAGTATCTAAACAACTCCTTATTGATTACTTCTAAAACAGGTAAAACCAACACCAATTCCGAAAAATCCTTGGTGCTGCCAGGTTCATTCTGCCCTTTGCGGGCAATTCCGTCTTTGATGAATTTAAGAGCGCAAAACGCTCAGAGATACGTCGGGTCGCGCTGGTCCGATAAACTCAGTGGCTAGCTGTTCTGTTTGTGTATTTTCGAACATTCTGTCCACTTACATTTCAACGATAGACGAACTGAATCTGTAATCTTCGGCAGCAATAAAAATATGTCGGCACACCTCAGACATCTCACTGCATGGTCCGTTCGTTGACAGTCGTCTCCTCCCATAGCTTGCGGCATACATTGCAGACTGTCGCCATCGCACTTGTTTGCATCATACTTACAATGTCTACTGTAACCGCTTTTCATGAATCCGAATAGCTTTTCTACCTCCTTCTCATGAGCATTGAATTCCTTACAAAATGTTTGCAAAAATTACATCTACTGTACAAATGCTGTGTAGTAGTAGGATAGGCCCGCCTGCTGTGTTGCTTGTTTTGTGAGCATTTCCAGTATCTGATAGAAAAATATTCGCCCCACTCGCTTGTGAATACCGCCGGTGTCTGTACTTGGTGTAGACAAAGTCAAACTCTCTGATTGCAGATTTTTACGGTTCGATGTACTTAATTGTGTACGCATCGTGTTTGGGCCATAGTAGTCCTCATACTTTTGCCAGATTGTACCCTTTCCAAATTTACGGCCCGCCTGCTGTGTTGCTTGTTTTGTGAGCATTTCCAGTATCTGATAGAAAACGATTCGCCCCACTCGCTTGTGAATACCGCCGGTGTCTGTACTTGGTGTAGACAAAGTCAAACTCTCTGATTGCAAATTTTTACGGTTCGATGTACTTAATTGTGTACGCATCGTGTTTGGGCCATAGTAGTCCTCATACTTTTGCCAGATTGTACCCTTTCCAAATTTACGCAGCATGTATGGTATGTCCGCCAAACGAGAGTCCTCAAATTTCCTATTCCGTAAACATCCAGCTATGAAGCCAGTAGTGGTATTAGAACGGCTCAACCAAGTCATTGCTAGGAGATAACTTCTTTTGCTCACCTGCGAATTCAACATAAATACGACATAAATAATGTGTATTATTGTAAAGCTTACATTCCATAAGTATGTATATATAAATTTATATTTACATGAAGTAATTGATCACAAAGTAGTAAGTGTATGTTAGCCTCAAGGATAGCTTACTCGTGCTGAATATACACCTTCTCTACAACCCCATTTCTACTCATCATTCTGGTACATTCCATCTGTACTTTTACTGTGTCGTAATCGGGAAATTATGGGGTGGGTATGGTTTTACTCTGATCTGTATCGGAGCATTGGCGGAAGCGCTCAGCGTTATTAATCAAGTCTCTCTACTATTTAAAGTGCAGTGACGTCGGTCTTGATTCTCCATGTTTGTATGCTCAAATAAAATAACTTTGAGTGCACGATTGACAGTTATCTCCTCGGTTGCTACATTTGCATCTGCAAGGTCAGTCAGTTATCTGAGTAGACATCCTCTGCGCCTTTGTGTATAACCCTTTGGTAAAGTAGATTACTAGCTAGTGCATCCTTTGGAGATATGGTATTCACCAATCGTTTTCAACTTGTGTACGTACATGTCCGACCAGTTGATTGCGCCTGAGTAAATTTCCTGATTTTTGTATATCGTATGTCCTAACGTAGTCCATTGGCTTTGTTGAAGTACTTAGGGCTACATAAAGCGCATCTCGTCTGTTCATATTGTTAATCCTGTCATCTCGTTCTCTTAGTGCAATCAGTTGTTCATCGTCTCGTTCAGAATAGTCAACTACTTGATCACCTCAATGGTTGATCCACATATATTTGGTTCTAGATTTCTTTCTTACACATCCTTTCGATACATGTACACCACGCTTATCACAACAGCGTCTATCGGCGACACATTTAAAACTATTATTTGTTGTGCATGGAGGAGGACAAGCTTTGCATCTTGAGAAGTAGTCGCACTGTCCACGTTTGCATCGATGCGTTGGCTTGGGACAAGGCCAATAAAACTTACCGTTCACGGTGGAAGATTTACCGCTATCACCATCGATATTATTTTTTGATAGGAAACAAGTACAAACTGTATGTCACCTTGTGCTACAGTGAAAGATACTGAGCAACAGTACGTGATACTATAAGGCGTATATTTTAGTCGAAGGATGCACTTTGGTAATGACGTTATCTACTTAACTAAGACGGCTTTGAACATCGCTTCAATGATGGCTGTTATAAGCTTGACAAGACCTATCTTTCTATGATATCAGATTGGATGTACGATCAATAGCCGGATATTGCATCCATGCAAAAAGGTTTTATATCTCTCCGATTTTTTGTTCTTGAAGTAAGAGAAATTGGTAGAATTGGCTCTTAAGACTGCGACCACTATTGTGGTCAGATATACTCTGTTAAGTTTATTCAGGTTATTTCAGGTCTATTTGAGAAATGACATAACCCCAGTTTTAAGCTTTACGATCAAATTTATACACATGTCAAATAATAGGAACAATGGTTCATTTATGATTCAATAAAGGTACAACGTCTTCCCTTGTATGAGGGGAGTACGTTGAGATATTGTTAACCTCGCGTATTTGACTACATTTTTTAACAAGCTTATTAGTTGTACTTTATTGAGAGTAAATTTAGAACCGACATAGTATACGGGAGGCGGAAGAATGGCCAATTTTTTTTCTCACTAGGATTCGAGAATCAACATCGAGACAATGGAGGAACCCACCAAGGAGTCGCATGAGAAGTGAAAATACCCCCATAGGACCGTTCGCAGCAGACCAACAACTGAGAAGTGAGGACAGCGGGTTTGGCAGTAGTGAGCCGAGCTTGACATCTTTATTGTCAAAATCAGAGAGCGACACTGAGGAGAGCGAAAAAGATGAGGACCACACAAATGAAGAAGTGATCCCACAATGTAAGATTCGGTCTCTCAAGGCGATATTAACGTCTTAGAATAATTAAACGCGTAGGTAAAATCTAAGTATTGTGATAATTTCAAAGTAAATAAACGAAATGAGTCTCTTAGTAAAGTTAGGTATGTCTCGTGAAAACATCAGTACTCTGAGGGATTGTGAGGCTGA